CTGACATACATTTGTTTGCCAACTACATACATATATACTTATGAAATTATTTAAGTATTATTTTTATTTTTGTTGTTGGATTTCACTAGGAGATTCGGCTTATAAAAATGTAAATAACCAAAAAAAAATAATAATTAAAAAAATAGTAAAATTAGTATATGTGACAACATATTAATTTTTAAATTTAGGTTAAATAGTTATAAATTATATTATAATATTTTTTTTATTGTTATTGCATGCAATTTCCCTATAAAAATTTAAGATAGACAAAATAAAAATGATAGGTGGACCGATCAAAATGAAGTCCTAGAGTGCTACTATAAAAGCGACGGAGGATCTACTAGAAGGAGATCTCGGATTTTTTTTGTGACTAAATACACTTTGTTCAAAGTTATTCATTAAATTCATCAATAATCCATACAGTGTCTCATTTACTAGTCCAATTTATTCACTCTATCATTTTAATGTTTGAACTATTAGAAAAAGCCTTAATTTCTAATCTTTCTGACCCAAATCATTTATATTGGATCTCACATCTACAATCGGACAATTACTTTAGAGCAAAATTTTCGTAATTCAACCAGACAAGTAATAACATAAATACAGTATTCTGACATTTTTTTTCTATATAATTCAAAAAATTTAGATTTAACGAAGATTTCAACTATAATTTCTTGATTAATTTTTTTTCGTCAACAAGTACCTCTATTTGTTTTTTTTGTTTTTTTTTAATTCATCTTTTGTGATTTTTGTTCTTAACCACACTCCTTTATGAAGATTTAGCTGCTAGTATAGAACTATAGATAAATACCTTACAAATTTTTTCTTTCTCAACATCTCAAAATTTGGGGGTCCATTCATTGATCAATACTTAGGCAAAAGGATTATATACAGTAATATTTTTTTTTATAACCTACCTATATCTTTTTTTTTTTGGGACATAAACTTCTTAAAAAAATGTTTTGAGGTTCTTCTCTATTTTATTAAGGATTAAAACATTTTTCCGTTAGAAGTTTTCATAGTTTATTATTTGTTTTCTCATAAAATGTCTCCAAAATCAGGAAAAGACATTTGTATAACATTGACAAAGACCAAATTTTCCGATTTACTTTATATTAAAAGAGTTAGTATTTTAGTAATATTATTTTTAGTAAAGCCAACCACCTTTTTTGGTCTCGGCACCCTAATACTAACTCCCTAAACACGGATTTAAACCCAATAGAAAAAACAGAAGCCGGATCACATTAATAATCTTATATATATATAATTAATCAAAGGTTCAACCATCTCAACAAATAAAATATTTGTTCGATGAAAAACATTAAACACTAATTAAGCAT